TCCTCAAGATTCATCGATGTTGTAGCATGTGTCTGAATTTCCTTTCAAGGCTGAATAATATTCCCATGTGTGTGTATAACATTTTGCTTATTCATTGATAGGCACTTGGAATGCCTTCTTCATGTTTTAGCTATTGTGAATAATGCCACTGTGAACACAGATGTTCAGGTACGTGTGGGCATTTTGATACGAATGTAACAACACAAAGCACACATGTGCTCCATCATGAGCTCAGTTGTATGTGGACATGGAGGGCGCTGGAAGTCGTGGTGGGGCAACTGAAGCACCTCTCTGGAAACACTGCGTCCCGGGAGAGAGAAGGTCAGGCAGGTGTCAGACAATCACTGGCACATCAGAATTCCTGTGAAAGCGCAAAAACAAAAAGGGTGCCTGTGCTAAGCCCCAGACCCCTTGATTTAGAGTCTCTTGACGAGGACTCTGGACATCTGCATGATTAAAAGCCTCTCCGGAGGTGCTGACTTGCTACCTTGGGGCTGGGAACCACACAGCCTGGGACTCGGGAAGGAAGGGCGAATCTGTCTTTCCTCCTAGGGGCAGAGAGTAACTACCAGAGGCACTGTTTTCCTAGCGAAACCCTGCAAGACCCTACGAGGCAAAACAGCCCTCCTGGGGGGGCCTTTAGCCAAGCAAAAGTGAGATGTTCTTCCCGCCTGCAACAAACACCAAGTGGAGCCAGCGTACACGCCACAGTGTACAGGGGCATCACCCACAGCAAGGTGGCTTATGAACCATCCCAGTCCACAGTGTACAGGGGCATCACCCACAGCAAGGTGGCTTATGAACCATCCCAGTAAGGCTTCCCAGAAGCAGTGGGCAGAAGGAAGATGGTTGCAGTCTCTGGTGGAGGTGAAACCAGAAACAAGTCTGCATTGAGCCCAGACAGTGATGGGCACTCTTGCTCTCTGAAGGTGCGGGCCTGTCACTGGGGCTGGCAGGTTCAGCAACATCCTTGGTGAGGCCTGGATCCTAGACCCACTGTTAGCTGGATTTGTGACATAAAAATCCTCCACGTGCCAAAAACACAAAAAACAAAAAACCGTTAAGGCAGGCAGTGATCCCCATTCCTTTGGATTTTATAGACCAGTAAGTGTCAAATAAAACTTCTGGGACCGACGTGACTGCCAACTTTTAGTCTTGGCAGGGACAATGAAAAAGACTAAAAGCTATGATCTATCATCATTTCATAAAAGAAGGTTATTTTGATATCATAAAGGAAGGATAACTTCAGAATTTAAAAAGTGTACACACTGAACTTTAATTAGAAAATAACCGTGTATTTCCTGTGGCGTTCTCATTTTCTGTGGACGAATGAAAAGTTCATCATCATCTCTGCAAACTTAGGCTTCTTTGCCTCGAATACTTAGGGGCAGCTGCACCATTTGCAGATGTTGTTTATTTCCTTGAAGAGGTGTCTTCAGGGCTTTAAGGGAACATTGCTCTAAAGAAGAGCACACTTGGCTGATCAGTCCCTTGAGAAGACTTTGGTTTTTGATTTTTTGTTCACTTCTGAGCAATGACTCCACATCCTGGGTACACGGAAGCCCTCTCTCCTCAGCTCGGTAGCAGTGCTCTCTAGCACAGCCAGTTCCCGGCTCAGGCCGTTTTCTAGATGGATGTGTCCTCCTCTCGCAGCCCTGTGAACTGACTGAAGGACAGCTGCAGCGGAGCATCTGAACCTGCAGCGGAGGCAGTGCAGGTCCTGCCTACAGCGTACACACGAGATGCCCGGGGCTTTCCACCATGATTTTTCACCGACATGATTTCCTTTCGTTCACCTGTAGCTCTGCCTTACCTGTACAGCTCAAGTCCCTAGCACACAACACAGGGGCCGAGTAAAGGCTTCTAAATACATATGAATTCAACAATGAGCGCATTCATTTTGTTGTAAACCATATAAATTACACTCAAAATGTAATAGTTTCTAACAAAATAAAAAGTTGACTCATTTCTTCATACTTAACTTCAAAAATACTATACAAACCTTTATTTACATTGATTAAATCCAATAGGTACATAAGAAGTTGAGGCACTGGTGTCTGTGGCTAATGGTAGTAATCACAGCTCACATAGCAAAGTAACATTAACCTTTTAACTTTGAGCTGTTGCAAAATTACCATTTTAATATCACATATACCATATATTCAGTACTAGTTACGACTTTTTTCTAAAGTAATAATAGAACATGATACCCAGGGAAAAAGAAAATACTTAATAACTTTCCCAAGTGCTAGTAAAAAAGAAACACATTGGTGTACACCTGATTTGAGGGGCGGACATGATTCAGACTATGAGCCATCAGGAGAGCAAAAAAAAGCTTTTTTAAACTGGAAGGACACTCACGCTGTTTTGGTTCAGACCCTTCATCTTTCATACTGGGAAACAATGCTCACAGGGCAAGTGTCACATCATTATGTAATATAGTCAGAAAGATGTCCCAGGTCTCCTACTAACAAACCTAGAATCTTTTCTAATTCATAACAGAGGTTTATGCTACAAATACAATCATATTCTTGAAAGATCAAATCAAATATCAAGAAAAACAGATCCATGATAATACTTCAGACTTTAAAAAATCCTAAAGCAATAATTTAATAAAAATGTATGTCAACAACTGTGTTCAAGATAATAGAATCAGTGTGGAATCCAGTGCCATAAACAGTGATGGCAGCAGTTCACTGGTGCAGTAATTCATTTATATACTTATGTAGTACTTTGTGTACTGGTTGTGTTTTCATCTGTACTACTTGAGTTAAATTTCTTCCATAAAAATTTCTCATTTGATTTCCAAAGAGGAGTTGCTGGCTCTTCTCTCCTTTTGGCGGGTGCTGCTAGAGGTGCTTTTTCACACAGAGCCTCTGTTACTGCCAAGTCTGTGAGCTTGTTAAGACTCTCGTCGTTCTGCTCATTCAAAATGTCCCAGAAATCTTTTGGTCTCTGTTTTGCTTTTTCCACGGGCCCTGAAAGAACTTGCTTTGGCAGTGGTGTGGGACTGTTCCCATGACTTCTAAAAAGGTCGTCAAGAATAGAGGTATCACCAAGTAAGCTTATCACAGAAGAATTTTCCAGCCCTGGATTTTCTCTCTTTTTGTTTTCCAGTTTCAGAAGGGGTTCTTTTCTTGAAATGCCCATTCTGGTGAGGTCCTGTTTGTCTTTCATGGTATTTTCTAACCTTCTCTCATGTGTTTCAGACTCACTGTTCTGAGAACGGGATGTCACAGTATCTTTGGATGCTTGGCTATTTTTCCCACTGTCAGTCTTTTGAGTAGAACTAACAGGTGATTTCTTAGTTTCTGCATCATTAGAATACACCTCTTCTCTACAGGAACTATGATTTTGAAACTTAATTGATTTTCTTTGATATGTTTTTAGGCTGCAAACTTGAGAAATTTTGTTGGTAGAATCTTTAAATGACAAGGTTTCAGAATCTGACAGCCTTGCTTTTATAAGAGAGTCTCTTTTTTCAGATTTCTTCCTGGTGCACTCTCCTTTCTCAAAGGAAGAAGTGTTGAATTCTGATGCAGAATCCACAAAAAGTTCTTTTACCTCTGGATATTGAGAAGCATAAAAGTCTCTTAGCATTTTCTGTCGTTCTTCTGATGTGGCACTGGTTATATGTTCAGCAAATTCGTTTACAGAAGACGAGTTAAAATAAGAGGCCATTTCTTCAAATTGTTTTCTAAAGATTAAATGAACAAAACTAGTGGTTATTTTCATTACATTTTATTTTGAAATAACTCATCACCAGTAACAGGAAATGTAGAGGCCAAGGAAGGTAATCTTGTTCCTTTAGCATGTCTGCTGAATTCCATAATGAAAATGCATTTTATCCTAGTAGAATGAGGCCTCTTCCCTGATGCTACTGAGAAAAGTATTTTAGCTCACAAAATCACCACTTTGTAAGTTATTTTGATTTATGCTACTATATTAGGTATTTCCGGGGAATTATGGAGGCCCAGCATGCTGCTACTCCAGTGAGCCAGTGATTTATGACTGACATGAGGATCATGATTTACAGAATCTGTACTTGAAAATCCATATTGTATTCAAGTCCCATGAAATAAAGTTGTCAAAGAAGAATCTTAACGAAAAGAGCAAATTCTGAAAAATTAAGAAAGACATTTGTTTTTTTCCCTTCCCTCTCCTTTTCCCCTTCTTCTACAAATACAATATAGAAATCGCGTAAGACTTTTTGATGAGCCCAAAGGGAAGTTCTAAACTGATAAACCCAGATTATTTTTTCCCCAGCTGGTATGGACACCTAAGCTAAGAAGTGAGATGCTATTAGAAGAAGTGTGTTGTATTCTTAGTATAAGATACTAATAAAAGCGGTTGTATACATGTATGAGGAAATGGGCCTTCAAGAACCTTGGTAAGATAGAGGCAGAAAGACTTAGGGACCTGGGCATTGAGCCCTGCTCCTTTCCCTAAACGAGGGTGCTATGGACTGAACTGTGCCCCTCCCCCAAATCCTGCTGAAGCCCCCTAACCCAGGACGTAACAGTATTTGGAGTTAGCGCCTTCAGGAGGTAATTAAGGTTAAATGAGGTCATAAGGGTGGGACCCTGATCCAACAGGATTAGTGTCCTTAGAAGAGATGCCAGAGAACCCACACAGTTTCTTTCTCTTCTGCCTCTTCCTCTCTGCCACGTGAGGACACAGGGAGATGGTGGCCACCTGCCAGCCAGGAAGAAGGCCCTCACCAGAAACTGAATCAGCTAACTTCTTATTGTTGGCCATCCAGCCTCCAGAACTGTGGAAATGAATTTCTGCTGTTTGAGCCAACCAGTCTATAGTATTTTGTTATTACAATCCAAGCAGACTAAGACAGTGGGTATTGCTTTGCTGATGAAGAGTTTGGGCCAAGAGATAGAACAGCTCAAAGTTTATAAATACTCCTTTGAACAAAAGTCATAGAGAGTGAGTGGAGCAGCCCATGATTAAAAGTCCTAAAGTTTTAGAAATTATATTTTATGCCATAGTTCCTTAAAACGTTCCTTTATTCACTCAACAAATATTTATAGAGTTTGTTATGTGCATAAGCACTATAGCAGGAACTATATAACAGCAAATAAGACTCCGGTTTCTATCTTCAAGGAGTTTACAGTTTACTTGGGGTAGACAAATGCATGAAAATCAAACTAGAGTGATAAACCCATAATGTAAATTTACCATGAGGTAAATATGGGGCGCTACTGGCATTCATAGAAAGGGAACCTAGGTCAGTGACTGGTGGTAGGCAAGGTGGGTAGAAAAGGCATCTCTTCCTGATAAGTCGGTCAGGTAATGATGAGTGAGAAGTCTCCCGGGGGAGAGGGCGCATGTACAGTCTCAGGTCCAGGATGACCTGGTTCAAAGAGTGGCAGGAGAAACTGCAAGGAAGAGGCTAAAAATCATAGGGGGTCTGTAGGCCAAGTTCAGAAGTTTGAATTTTATCTTATGCACAACAGAATCCTTAGCATAAAAAAAATTACTTTTAATGTATGTAAGTAGGAGCTTCAATGCCACTTTTATTTTTGCCACGCAGACCAGGTTATATAGTTTGTGTTTCCTTTGCTGTTAGTGGTAGACCATAAAGCACACTCACAGCTTTCGTTTGTGGCTTCAGATGGGCCCATGGCTTCTAGTCCTCACTACACTATCTTGTTAACTTCCCCAAATCCAGATACTATCCACGCTTTATCAACAGCCACTTTCATCTCCAACAGAATATTTAATAACACATATACATGACTCCAAATTTCTGTCCTGGAAATTGCCAATGTTCTTGTTGGAAAGTAACAAGCATATTCTTAAGAGGTTCCAGTTTTCACTTCACATGAAATAATGAGAGATTATTCTGTTTATTAATCATCTTCAAATCCATTTTCATGGCCCTTCTAATAAATATTTGTGCTTGTAAAGATTCAGTGATTGGCCAGGTTACAAGCTGATGCCTTTTATTTATCTAAGGCTTGGTGGTGTCAGCAACTGCCAAAGTAACTTCACCTCCGCTGTGCTGGAACCGCGGCCTCAGCGGCGACCCTGCGAGCTCTGGGAGGAGAGCTGCCTCTAACCTCGTTTTCTCTGAGTAGTCTGCAAGGGAGGAGAGCTGCCTCTAACCTCGTTTTCTCTGAGTAGTCTGCAAGGGAGGAGAGCTGCTTCTAACCTCGTTTTCTCTGAGTAGTCTGCAAGTACACTAAGCCACGTGGTTGCTGCTTACAGGATAAGCTATAATTCAGTACTTTTTTTTTTTTTTGAGACGGAGTCTCGCTCTGTCGCCCAGGCTGGATTGCAGTGGCCAGATCTCAGCTCACTGCAAGCTCCGCCTCCCAGGTTTACGCCATTCTCCTGCCTCAGCCTCCCGAGTAGCTGGAACTACAGGTGCCCCCACCACGCCCGGCTAGTTTTTCGTATTTTTTAGCAGAGACGGCGTTTCACCGTGTTAGCCACGATGGTCTTGATCTCCTGACCTCGTGATCCACCTGTCTCGGCCTCCCAAAGTGCTGGGATTATACAGGCTTGAGCCACCGCACCCGGCCAGGATAAGCTATAATTATCATTCATTTTATTTTTGCCTTCTAACTGGCTTTCCTAACTCTGGGCCTTCAGAATTTTCTCTAAGAACGTAAGGAACTGCAGGGTACAACCAGGTGGCATAAGCCAGCCACTTTGTGAAGAAAAATTAGTTAACTAGAGTAGACTTCCATAACCCATTTAGTGAAAGGGGGAAAAAAGAAACCAAAGATATGTCTCTTTCAGCAAGTGTATCAAAAGCAGTTATGTATCACAGATACAATTCAAAATTCTCCCTTTCTGGAGGAAGGGAGGTGGAACACAGCTGAATTCATCTTCTGTCTGCCTAAGCTTCCGGAAGGAGAGGCGGGACTGAACACTTCATTCAGATGATCATGTGACTGCAGTGGAGGAAGGTGCAGTCTTGATTCTATTGACTAGAACAGTTAATGGAAAAGAGGGTGGTAAAATGTACATGGTTGGACGGTTTTAATTCTACATCCCTAATTGGTAACCAAAGCCAATAAGGCACGTAGTGATTGAAACACTTGAACGTGCCACTAGAACTCAACGAAGCTGATGAGTCTGTCATTGCTCTGCCCACAGCTCAAGATGCGTATGCAGCATGCCGTACGGCATCGTGTCCATTCCAAAAGCAAACTCCCCACACAGCAGGTGCTGCATCAGTCACTTTCACAATGCTGATTACAACGTTTTATCTGGTGCTGGAGCTGAAGGATTTCATCAGGCCGGACAGATCAATTGCTGGACAGAAAGGCAAAATAAAAATAGCACCATGGTGCATGCCTGACTGGAAAACCATGGGTAATTTACCACCAAGTGCAAGGTTGTGAAGGTTGCCTTCTTGCTCATCTATCATGCTGTGTGCAAGCCCAGCTGTAACCCGATGCAGCAGAGAAGCAAAAGACTCAGTGCCCTCCTCTCAGCCGTCAAGCCAGGAGGCACCACAACCTCCGTCGAACTCAACCCAGCAGTGACTTCAACAAAGCCGCAGTATGACTAGCTAGCACGGGCCCTGACATCAAGCTGACACGATCACTCTTTCAACCTGGTGCCAATCCTAACCTTGGGGTCACTGACTGAGCCTTCATAAGTCAGTGTAAGCTCATCGCAACCTTTTCTGAAATGACCTCACATGTCACAATGTGAAGTTTCACTGAGGAAGGATTCAATCATGCCTCACTGCTCCCTGGTGCAGGTTGTGACATAATGAAATTCATGAGCATTGAAGGACGACTCACTGAGAAACATGAGGAAGAACTCTTTCTATTTCTTAGTCTTCTGACTCAGAGGGCACAAAGAATTAGCACCTGCAAAGTTCCCTGCTCTCTGTAAGGTTGCAAATGCACGGAAAAGAAAGCTAGATACTTCCTTCAGAGCTGCCAGTCACCAAAGGAGTCCCCTCCAAACTTATTCATGATGTTGAAGAGGCAGTTTCCAAACCACTTCTTAAGAAGGCACTGATGAGCAAAGAAGATGAAGGAGGACTAGAAGCAGCATACAAAATATCTAGGGAAGAGATTCAAGTTGCAGCTACGTTGAAGCCCGGAACAGAACAAACCAGTGTCCTAACATGGCTCTTGGAGGCAATCGAGAACAGAGAACGCATGCAAACTTGGGGGGAAAAGGTATATGGTCAGCCTCCTGGCAAAATATTTGCCCAAAGTGAAAAGGCACACTCCGCAAAAACCCTTGTTGCTGGTCTGTCTGTGGGAGGTACGCTGTGTGGCAGGGTGGGAGGTGTTCACCTTTCTGTGCGACTACAGACAGCTGAGAGCCACACTCCAACAAGCCACGCTGGCACTCCAAAGAGCTGGGGGACAAGCTCTTCCCCGGGCAGCTGAGGAACTGGCTGCCTGGGAGTCGCCAAACCCCTGCAGGAAGCATTTTGAACCCACAGAGCCAGAGACATTTCCCACTGCCCCCAGAAGCCAGCAGGGCCAGCCCGACCACGCCTCCCATGCCTGTTCACTGCCGTCATCCATTACCACTGGCCTCTCATCTCCTCCTACTGTACATCTTGATCTAATCCAATCCCTCACCCTTCCAAGCCATCCCTCGGTGCCCCCGGAACCAACAGTCCCCCGAGTCTTCTACTTCTATGCTGAATGGTCCTGTGCTCTGATGATACTGCCTCTTCCCATGCAGCCCTTGCAAGGCAAGGATCTTGCATCTCATGGCTCTCCAACCTCAGGGTTAGTGCTTCTAGACACTGCTGCTTCCAGACCATTCTTTTCTTAGAAAACTCCTTCCCCTCTTTAACATTTATGCCATCCAGCTAAACTGTTCTCTCCTTAATCTTAAGTGACCCCTTCGTTGCTTCCTGCTAGCAGCTAAACTCTCAAGATTCTGGATTAATCTTGCTTCCCACCCCATCTCTTGCCATCATTCTTGGTAACATCAATATCCATGTGGATGTCCCGCCCAATCAATACCTGGCCCACCACTTTCTTTAGCTCACCTCCAAACTCATCTCAACTCCATGTTAGCCCCCTACTCCCAAGTTTACAAATTGCCATTGTCATTACCATCAACAGCTCAACCTCCAGTCCCTGACTCAGTCATCTCAGGCTCCAGCTCAGCTACTTGATGATCGCCCACAACAGCAATAACGGGGGATATGCTGGTAACTCAAGTCCTCAAATTCACGGACTCTTGTGCTTTTGCATGATCCATCAGCCTCCCTTGTCCAGCTTAGGTTTAACTTTATAATCACTCCTTTACAAACATTCTACAGCTTCCTTGCTTCTCTCTCCCTTCATTCTAACTCCTGGGCAGACCCAGCCATCTCTCTACTTGTGTCTGCAACAGAGCAACTGAAGCTTGCTGAATAAAATATGCAAACTGGACAGATGATTTTCCTGAAATTATTCTCAAATGGGAACTTAACGCCATCCAGAAATTCTAGTCCCATTAAGCCTACTTTCCTACTTTATAAATGATTTGTTTCCTAACTTCTCTCTCCCTAAATCTTTCTCTTTCTGAACTTAGGGCTTCAGTTCTCAATTCACTGAGAAAATGTCACATCTGTGCCTGTGTTTGTCCCTTCTCTTTCAACGCCTCTCAAAGGCCAGACCATGGCCTGTGGTTTGGGTACCGCCCTCCACTGCTTCCAGGCCCTCCCTCTTTCTGTTTTCACCTCTCTGACATGATCTCTTTTTTTCCTACAAGTCTTTTCCCTCAACACACAACGGGTTCTGCTATCTCAACTCTAAGACCCACAATGCCCTCTGGCTGCTGCTACTTTTTACATTCAAACTTATAGCTCTGGCCACCTCCCACCAGCAGGCACCTGCCCACTGCTTCCATCTGAACTTACAGCACCTGCCACCTCCCGACAGGGCCTGCCCACCGCTTCCATCCAAACTTACAGCACCTGCCACTTCCCGCCAGGGCCTGTGCACTGCTTCCCAGGCTGCTCCTGCCAAGGTGCCTGCTGAGTGCTCTGCTACTACCTCCAGTGGGCAGTTTCCCACGTCATCTGCTTCTGGTTCTCAGCGGTATTTGATAAAGTTAAGAACTCCTTCCCTTTAAGACCCTCTCACTACTCCTGGACTTCAGGACCTGACACTGTGCCTCTTACACCTCCTCCAGGAGGAGCTGCTGCCTCCAGTCTGTGTCCTGGGGCTTCTCTCCTCCTCTCTGTGCTCTGTTCCTAGGCTGCTCACATAGTCTCACAGTTCTGAAGACCATTTATAAACTCTACGCTGATGACTCCCAAATTTAAACCGTTAATTTAACCCCCAAACCAGAAGTAGCTCATACATACACTGCCTATTGAACCTTTCCACAGAATGTCACATTTCATATGAGCAAAAGGGAACTCTTGATTTTTTTCCTCTCTGAACTTGTTTCTCTCTGGTTTTCCCCATTCAGTACCTCCACTCTGTTGCTCAAGACAGAAAGAAGTAATCTTGTTCTCTCTCTTTCCCGAACCAGTCCATCACCAAATTGAATTCATCCACCACTTGGCTCTATCCTCATGGCAACCACTCTGGTGCAAACCCCCATCACTGAGTTCCTTCTCATCTACCCTTGTTCATTCTGCCCTCTTCCACAGGGAAGCTGGAACCATCTTTCAAAAAGATACATCAGATCGTGCCATTCTTCAACAGTTTTCCACTGCACTTGGAACAAAATCCAAAGTCTTTCTGTAGCCTCCAAGGGTTGGCACGCTCCAGCCCCGCCTGCGTCTCTACCCTCCATCTCATGCTACTCTCTGCTTGGTTTATTCTGCACTAAGGTCACCAGTCTTCTCTCAGCTCCTTGACCACACCAAACCTCTTCCCTCCTTGGAGATGCTCCTACTCTGGTTCTTTGCGTGGTTATCCTTCAGCTCTTAACACAAACGCTACCTGTGTAGACAGTCTTCCCTGACTTCCCAAAAGAAAGGTGGTTCCACGTCCCCTCCCCATTCTATTATTCTCTTTCTCTTTTTTCTTATAACACACCATTTTATAATTCTTTGTAGGTTTACTTTTTAAAACTTTATGGTTTGATGCCAACCCCATTCCTCTGTACTAGAGGCTCTACGTCTGTCCTTTTTTCACACTGTATCTTCAAGACTCAGCACAATGCCTGGGTATATATTAGGTGCTCAAAATATATTCATTGACTGAATGAATAAAATGTACTTAAGTATTTCATTTCTTTGTATAACATGATTTCCCTTTTTATGGTAATCAATTCAGGGATTAGCCTTCTAACAACATCTAAAACATTTGCAATTTATTTTTGAAATTCAGATTTTTCTGAAATATTCAGATGTCAGTTATGGTTATAATCCAAATATTTGTATATTTTACTACCGAGCTACATTTCTTTTCAGAATTATTCTTCAAGTCTAGTGTTGTCAGAGACGATGTACCTGCGGATTCCTTTTGGTGTTTCTCCAATTATGAAGGTGGTCTGGTTTGTACGGTAGACTTTTTTCTTCTTTTGGCTCACAGGGTGTGAAATGTAAAGAGGAAGTGAAACGCTGCCTTCGCTCGGTTGCTGGCCTTTCTTTGTGTGTGGCAATGTATTTGCATTCACCTTTTCTTTATATGTCTGAAAAAAAGAAAGGAAACAAAAGCTATGTCTGAAAACATAGTCACTGTTAGTCAAATAACGAGAATGTCACACTCTTTATAATGAAGTAAATCACATTCCCCAACTGACATCAATGTCAGAAGATGTTAACCCAGGTCTTTAAGAAAATGACACAGGAAAAAATTATTTTATACCTTTAAGATATAAAAGTATTGGCAATAACATGTTATTTCCGTTGTCAAGACTCGGGCATACTGATACATATGTTGATATCTACTATACCAAAGGATAAAAATTAATGATTATATACACTATGGCATAAACATGGGATATCTACAATTTTCTAATTTAATAATTGCAAAATTATTAAGCAGTCTTTCAGTTGTCTAATTTCATATAATGGATAAATGTAAAAAATAGCAATCTTTGTGTAATAAATAAATAAGAAACCATAAATCTTACATTTATTTCAACCTCTGCTGGGTTGTAAGAATATTTAGTGATTTTGAGATGCTAACTACAGTTGGCTGAATTATAGATGGAATCATAACCCTTTTACAGAGACCATGAATTGCCTGTCTAACAAATTTTACTGACAGTGAGTCAAGAAAAATAAACTTTATATATAGTCCCAGTTTTCCTGACAAGATGATACAGTATGAATAGGTAGAGAGTCCTCATCCTATTCCAAAAAGAGAAATACTAAATACAATTTAACAGTAACAACAACAAAATTACACTGGAGCTCAAAAGTAAGCAAGCAGAATGTCTAGGTGCCCTGAACAAGGAAGTCCCACAATGGTGAGCGGGAGCTGAAGCTCAGCAGCCCTAGTAGGGTCGGTCCTTAAGTTATAGTCTACAGCACTCATGTGGAGAGCGGAGATGGAAACGGTTTAACTCCCTGCACTAAACAACAAAGAAACACAAAACAGGAATGAGGAGTCAAATTTGCAAATTAAAGCCAGGAAAGCCAAACCTGGGACACAGGCTAGAAGCAGACCACTTTCTTACTCTAGACAGAAAGAATCACTGGCGACGAACAGGAATGCCCAGCCAGTGCCATGTGTGGAATGTGATTTTGTACCACCTGGTGGTATGGGAACTCTAAGCTGAAAATCAACATAAACAATTTGTCCGGAACTAGTGAAAACCACAGATCTCAATCAGGGGTGAATAAAAAATATACCATGGGAAGATTGCCATAAGCCAGAGAATGCTTTTGATTCCAATGAAAACAGGAGGAGTTCAGACAAAAATTATCAAGAACATATAAAACCTACCATCATGAAGTTGAGCATATGTAACAAATATAAGAACTGAAATCTGAGGAATTACCTATAATAAAGCAATCTGAAAAGATATTCATTTATGAATAAATAAACACATGACAGAGTCTCACTCTGTTACCCAGGCTGGAGTGCAGTGCCATGATCACAGCTCACTGCAGTTGATAAATTGGAAGGATAAAATTACTCAGAATGAAGTGCAGAGACTAAAAAAAATAGGGAAGTTAAGAGACAGAAGACATAGCAAAGTTTCTAAAATGCCAGGAGAGAATGGAGAAAATGGAAGAGATAATGCCAGAGACCTGTAAAAGAAAGGAATCCTCAAACTGAAAAAGGAGAAAGAATCCCTAGTAGGAAAAATGAAAATAAATCTGTATTTTGTTATATCACAGATAAAGGGCATACCTTAAAAGCTACCAGAGAAAGAGGATAAGACATCCTACAAAGAAATGCCAAATTAGGCCAGGCACGGTGGCTCACACTTGTAATCCCAGTACTTTGGGAGGCTGGGGCGGACAGATTGCTTTAAGCCCAGGATTTCAAGGCCAGCCTGGGCAATGTGGCAAAACCTTTTCTCTACAAAAAAAATACAAAAACTAGCTTGCTGTGGTGGCATGCCCCTGTAGTCCCAGCTACTCTGGAGACTGAGGTGGCAGGATGGCTTGAGCCCAGGAGGCAGAAGTTGCAGTGAGCCAAGTTCGTGCCACTGCATTCCAGCCTGGGTGACAGAGCCAGACCATGTCTCAGGAAAACAAACCACCAACCAACAAACAAAAGCCAAACTAACATCAGGCTTCTCATTAACATCACAATCCTATCCACCAAAAGAAAATGGGGTATCTTCAACATGCAGAGAAAAAAAAAAAAAACCTGTCAACCTAGAATTCTATACCCAGTTAAACTATCATGTAAGAACTTTTCAGACATACAAAGACTACTAGAATTCATTAGATTCTTGCTATTTATATATTTTTTTTTTTTGAGATAGGGTCTTGTTCTTTTGTGCAGGCTGGAGTGCAGTGGTGCAACCATAGTTCACTGCAGTCTCAAACTCCTGGGCTCAAGTGATCCTCCCACCTCAGCCTCCCGAGCAGTGGGGACCGCAGGCATGAGTCCACTGGCCGAGCTAATTTTTGTATCATTTTATAGACACAAGGTCTTGCTATGTTGCCCAGATTGGCATGCGTAACATAGCAAGACCCTGGGCTCAAAAGCAATCCTTCTGCCTCAACCTCCCAAAAGTGTTGGGATTATAGAGTGAGCCACTGTGCCTGGTCTTTTTTTTTCTTTTTAATAGAAGTTCAATGGGATTTAAGCAGTGATACATTCAATGAATGTGGGCAAGGAATGGCTTTTAATTCCACAAATATTTACTAAGCACCTATTACATTCCTGCCAACATGCTATGCATTTGAGATACAAAGATATTTATATATACAAAGATTATTCCCCCTACCCTTAAGGGATTTAAAAGTAACAAGCCATTTTAAAAAATACGATTATGTTTATCTTTTTTCTTTTTTGTATAAGACATTTTCCTCTATAACTTATATTCCGGTTCATTTCATTGAAACTGACAAAAACAAGTGTATGTTCTTTAGTAACGAACCATTTCTAAGGAAAATTGACATCTTCAAAAGCTACTTGGTTCAGATGGACAAACACAAAATGCCAGGTGGTCAGGTTGAACCAGGGCTTTATATCAGTAATGTTAAAAGTACTTTCCTTAAAAATATATTTTAAAAAATTGTAACTGGGCCAGGTGCAGTGGCTCATGCCTGTAATCCTAGCACTTTGGGAGGCCAAGGCGGGCGGATCATGAGGTCAGGAGATCAAGACCATCCTGGCCAACATGGTGAAACCCCATCTCTACCAAAAATACAAAAATTGGCTGGGAGTGGTGGTGAGTGCCTGTAATCCCAGCTACTCGGGAGGCTGAGGCAGGAGAATACCTTGAGCCAGGGAGTCGGAGGTTGCAGTGAGCCAAGATCACGTCACTGCACTCCAGCCTGGCCACAGAGTGAGACGCCATCTCAAAAAAAAAAAAAAATTGTACCTTAAAACATTAATGGAAAGAAAAATGTTGTTAAAGTTTGAAAGATATTTGATGCATTTATTTTCCATCACAAAACAAAATGAACACTAAAAGTTCCTAATACAAAGACTCATCATCCTAGCATACCCCCAAGAAATAATCATTCATTACTATGAGATGAGATGATATTGCTTACATGAAGGTAAAGGGAGTAAGCAGAAAGAGAAGGAACTGGGCCAACCAAGAAAATTCCATTCTCATATTTTGCAATTTCTGAAGCCATAGAGAAATCATGCCAAAGAATGGCAATTGTCAATTATTTGTTTACTCTGGGTCTTTATGACCCTGGTAGCATTGCAAAGCTCACATGTATAGAGATACAGTTTTCTTAAATCAGTTTCATAACTTCTTTAGGAAAATTCAGCTTTTGCAACCATAGTTATTAGACATGTAGATCTTTAATTTTTGCCAAACATTCCACATTTTAAAATCTGATTCTTTTAGGCAATAATAAAAGGAAATTTTTTTTTTTTTTTGGAGACGGAGTCTCACTCTGTCTCCTGATCTCAGCTCACTGTAAGCTCCGCCTCCTGGGTTCCCGCCATTCTCCTGCCTCAGCCTCCTGAGTAGCTGGGACTACAGGCGCCCGCCACGACGCCCAGCTAATTTTTTTGTATTTTTAGCAGAGACCGGGTTTCACCATGTTAGCCAGGATGGTCTCAATCTCCTGACCTTGTGATCCGCCTGCCTCAGCCTCCCAAAGTGCTGAGATTACAGGTGTGAGCCACCGCGCCTGGCCAGGAAAATCATTCTTATTTAACATGGGCTCAACAGCTATCTTTTATTTTTAAAAATCTATCTAGTTTCATATTTACATTTTAGCAGGCAACTTTTAACATTTTACTGAAACAAGGCTGTGAAACAAAATAGTTACATTAAAAATAGATTTTAGCAATCAATGTGCCATTTAGGCTTATTCTGAATGAAAGCTCTAAAGGTTACATGTATAAACTATGTATGGGTTGGGGGCAGTGTACTGGATTAGTTTCCTATTGCTGCCATAACAGTATCACAAAATTAGTGGCTTAAAACAATATAAATTCATTATCTTATACTTCTGTAGGTCAGAAGCTTGACATGGGGTCTCACTAAGCTAAAGTCAAGATGTTGGCAGGGCTGCATCCCTTTTTGAAGGCTCTGGGATAATGAATTTCTTTGCTTTTCCAGCTCCTGGTGGCTGCCCACAATCCTTGTCTTGTGGTCCCCTTCAAAAGCTAGCAACCCTTCTTCTCTGTTCTTCAGAGTCACATCACTGTCTCACCACAGCCAGGAAAGGGGCTCTGCTTTTAATAACTAACGTGATTAGATTGGGCCCATCCAGATAATCCAGGATCGAAGTGGGTTGATTAACATCCTTAACTGCATACATCCAATTGACCCATCTCAAGGTCAGCTGATTCAACCTAAATTGCATCTAAAACCTTAATTCCTTTTCCTACAACCTTAATTCCTTAATTACATGCTGGGTAATGTAATGTATTCATAGGTTCCAGAAATGAGTCAACAGACATCTTTGAGGGGGCCATTAACTGTTTTTCACTGGCAGGGAGAGTGGGGGTCTTAACCTGGGTCCACTGACCCTCCAAATGTTCAGCGGATGGGTTTCAGGGACTTTAGAAAGCGTTATCTATGAATCC